GTGGCGGTTTTACCTGTCCCAGGTAGGCCAGATATATCTAGAGGTGATAGGATCAGTGAAGTCTTGCCGGGGAGAAGAAAGCAATAAGGTGCTCACAGATACATCCACCCACACCAGACGTAACCAGATCGGCCACATCCCCCAATACCCGTACGAGTTCGTTGTCCCTGCAGGGCAACGAACCTGGCCGGGCACCTACGTGCAACGCGTACATGGCTCGACGGTGTGGGTCCGGGCCAACGCTATCTGGAAGCGTGGTAGACGCTACGCCTAGAGAGGAATCTCCATCTGCATACCCCAATGGATCAGTCAAAGAAAGATTGAAGGTACGTTGATGAACTTACCTGCGTTTGTTGCCCCCCTCAGACGAGACAAGTCAATTACACTCTTCCGTTTCCTAAGCGCCGCTTTCGAATGGGGAGTTGGCGCTGCGATGCGTTTCGCACGGGGCTTGGAGGGCGTCTTGAGACCATCGTCTTGTTTTGGCTGCCTACCGCGCTTGGTAGGACTTGTTGCTCCCACTCGTTGCTTGCGCGGAGTTTGTGGAATATCGTCCTCTAGGATTTCGACATCGTCATCGGAGACTGGATCTTCGTCGTCGTCCAGATTATCAGGAACGAGATCTCCAAGGGGTTCGTCCACTTCCTCATGCTCGTTGTCTGAAGGAGGCTGGTAGATATCTGAGCCACTCGCACTAGACTCGCTGCCCGAATCACTCTCTGGGGCTTCCTTGAATATCGAAGATGACGCGGGTAGCTGTTGTCGGGGTGCAGACTTGGTTGGAGTGGTCGAGATACCCTGCTTAGGCTTCGTGGTCTTCGGCTTCGTCGCTTTTGGTGTCTTATTGCTTGGTTTAGCTTTGGGAGTGGCTGCAGGTTTGGGCTTTGCACGAGGAGGTGGTAGCCTATCCACCTGGAGGTTCCATCCATCGCCGTTAAAATCTTGAAATTTACGTGAAGGAGCAGAATGCTTGAGCGATTCACGGCGAAACTGCTCCCAAGAAAAGTCATAGTAGATTCCTAGTTGAGCGTCGTGTGCGGATAGACAAAGAAAATCGAAAGCCGAATCAGCCTGCTGGACAGGGGCGCGAGATGTCCGGCCGCGTTTCGACGGCGTTTCTGGCGGAAGTGGTTGCGAATGAGAGGACTCGGCCGGCCTTTTAGCCCACTCAGCTTCGGTAAGAGATAGGGAAGAAAAACGAGAGGGGTCGGAGGAGATTGTACAGCGACGGAGAATATAAGCAGGAGTGATGCGTAGTTGAAGACTGGTGTTTTCTCTGTTTACTGCGTAATAAATCTCTTTCTGGGAGCGGGTTAAGGTGAGACCCCATAAGCGAAAGATGAATGTGCACACCTTTCGATAGGGGCGCTGTGAGCGTATCTTAGGAAGATCTAGTTCAGGACGCAGAAACCTGTGGACTATAATATGCATGCGAGATTCCTCCAGAAAGTCGTCTTCGCCATCAGATTCATCCTCCTCAGTCGCAGCGCCCGACGGGGGGCAAATATACCACATTGCGACAATGACAGCGATGCAGGGTTCGCCACTCTTAGTCGCGACAAATACAGTGTCACCGATAGCATAGTTGTCAATATGAACGCCTTCTAGGGATGCTCTTGGTTTTCTGCTTGCAGTTGGTATCCGCTCGAAGCCGGTGTGAAAGACATATTTCTGTCGTACGACGCCCGGGTGTCGACTGGAGCTGAGATCGACCAGCTTTCTCGCAAGGAGTTTGTCTGGCCATGCATACCGCACTGGCCCGGCGACACCACTCATTCTAGTAGACATAGAGTCCATTGTTACAGCTGGTTACTGTGGTGGATGCGCGATAAAGGAAGAACGCGATCACGTGACTGAATTGTTTGGTTGTGTTAGGAGAAGCTTCAAGCTCTCATCCTCGCCACAGTTCGACGCTTGGCCCAATCTGGTGGCTATATGATCTCCTGGACAGACCAACGTCAAGCTCTCACCTAAAAACCTCAGCCCGCCATCTCCCTCCTTCAAGTCCTCCCCCTCCCGCCTCGCACCTATGTTCGAAGAGTTCGCTGGCCCGGCCTTGAGCAGTATCCCTTATTTGGTGGTCAAGTATGGAGCAATCTGGCTCGCACTCTACGCGGCTCGCCAGCTTATTGTCCTGCTGGTGAGTGCCCAACACGACCTTTCTTCGTATGATCGCGAACCATCATCCTCTTGTCGCTCTTCCTATTGTCCTTACTGATCGCACCCTGCACAGCTTGTCCGCCCTTGGAGAAGTTACCTGCAATACCTCCCAGGTCCTCCCAGAGATGGATTGTTCGTGGCAGACCAGATGTTCGATCTGCTAAAGTGAGTTTGGGCGGGATGCCGGCATGGCCAAGTCCTAATAAGGCATTTTTTTAGTCCTCGGTTCTCGAAGCAAACACACGAGAAGTACGAGCAGTATGGCAAAAATATTCGGTTCCAAGGCATGGCCTTCGTGAGCGCAATGTTGCCACCAAGGCGAACATTTTCTAACGATTTCTGGGCAGTTTGACAACAGGTTTTTGAGCATGGACCCAGTCTCGCTCAACTATATGTAGGTTCACAGTCCAGCCTCGCAATTACACCAACTAACGAACAAAACAGGCTCAACCGAGCGTCCGAATTATACACTAAACCATGGCAGACCCGACGATTCGTAGGCAGGCTCATCAGCGGCGGTAAGAAAATCGATTTATTAACTACGTAGCCCAACTAACAACCCACTTAGGCTCATTCAGTGCCGGAATCATCACCTCCGAGGGCGAGGACCACCGTAAGCTGCGTCGCATCATCGCTCCAGCCTTCTCCCACCAGTCAATCAAGAACCTTGCGCCGCTATTCCTGCACAAATCGTTCGAGGTTAGACCCATCTCCTTCCTTTGTTCTCCAACCCGCTCTAAACGTATTTACCCGCCAGCTCCGAGACAAGATACGCTCCGTTCTTGCCTCACGGCCTGAACGCTCGCAACCCGGCGTTGAGGTCGACCAGATCCAAGGACAACAGGAACCTCGTGTCCGCATCGACGTGCACAACTGGGTTGGGAGAACGGCATTTGATATTATCGGAGTAGCGGGTGAGCGCGTCTATCAGATTCTTGGGCGTTTGAGTTGTTAAACTCAATTGTCCTGTTCCTTTGTCCGTGAACTTAGCGTTTGGCTACGAGTTCTCCTCCATTCAGCACGAGACAAATGAGGTCTACACGGCTTATCGGTGCATGTTCGATGCGCTCCGCCAGACGGAAAATCTGCTGCATAACTTGGGGCTTTTCCTCCCAGCGTGCATTGCTTCTCGTATTGTGAGTAGCTATCTATTTCATTTTGCACGTTTAGCGCTTAATCAAAACGCTTTGCAGCCCGATGCTCGAACGAAGGAGGTTAGCCGATGCCGACGGATTATCGAGTCTAAAATCCAGGAGCTATTAGTCAACCGCCGGCAGAATATTGCAGTCGAGAAAGCCGCAGGAGCAGCAGCAGGCAAGGATTTGAGCATTCTCAACCTCCTACGTGAGTCCCAGCTCCCCCATCAAATCAGCTGTACGGCTTAACCGACGTACCCACCAGTGCGCACGAACGAGACCTTTGACAAGCCTCTCACCGATTCCGAAATTCACGCTCAAATCGACACAGTCATGTTCGCCGGACACGACACTACTAGCCTTGTAATTGAGTGGGGTCTCTGGGAGCTCGCGCGCTATCCGGAAATCCAGGCCCGCGTCCGAGCAGAACTTGCACCTCTCATTCCGATCCTGAAAGACTTTGAATCTCTCACTCCCTCCGACTCAACCAACAACTACTCTGACATCACCGGCGAACTAGGGCAGCTCGCAAACCGCGTAGACGCACTGCCGTATTTCGAGAATGTTGTGCGCGAGGTCTTGAGGTTGCACCCGAGTGTTCAAAGCACACTGCGTGTTGCAGAGAAAGACGATATCATCCCGGTCTCCTCCCGTGTCCTTGCCAACGAAACCGGCGAGGTCTCTCGTGCATGGGTTGGTGGCGCCAAGACCGGTTTACCAGGTGGAGGAATCCGTATCTCCAAGGGCGAGTTTGTGCACATTCCATTCGAGGGTATGAACGTCTCCAAGCCGATTTGGGGAGAAGATGCACACGAGTTCAAGTACGTTCTTCCTTTCGCCGTCGGGAGTTGAGTTTGGAACTAAATTCGTGATTTTAGTCCGGAGCGATGGAATGAGTTATCGGAGGCTGCAAAGTCTAGCCCTGGTCTGTATGCTGGATTGATGACATTCTCGATTGGACCGCACGTACGTCTCTTCCTCGTATCTCAGTCCAACTCGTTCTGACGCTGATAATACCACGTCAATAGGCTTGCCCTGCGTCTCGTTGGGGAGTCTTGGAGATGAAAATGATGCTCGCTGTCATGATCGCCTCATTCGACTTTAGCGGTGCCAGCCCTATGGCCGGGCACAACCTCCTCGTCACGCGCCCATACGTCGACAACCAGTTCTCCAAAGGTCAGTTCCCACCTCACCCGCCTCGCCTAGACCCCACTGACGTAGTACACATGGACAGGTCATCGTCTACCTCTCGTCATGACTCCTCTCTAAATCCTCCCAGTCCAGCTGAGCTGAGAGGGGGGTAGGGTCCAAACAATTTTAGTACATAGTGTAATTTTCGTGGGGGTTTGGGAAGCATCTTCGCTCTTGTCACTCGTTTAGATTTGTAGCCGTTGGGGTATACTTAGTTTCGCTCTTAGTGTGGGCTTTGGTGTTGGTATATATGTTTAATATTAAATCTTTTTGAATAGCTATGCCGATCTGAAGTTTCATCAGGATTTAAAGAAAGCATATTGCATCATGATGAGCTAAATAAACCACATCGTCAAGTCTGGACCACCGAAACCAGAACAAGTTGCCTCGGTTGAGGTCGCCTTGAAATAGCCTTCCTGCGCCCGATCCGGTACTTCTGCCAGATGGACTTGCATCAACTGCACAAGCCTAGTATACTAACAAACTGTATATAAACAAAATAAAGAAAAAGAATGCCATGAATCCGGATTGAACGGATGACCTGTAGATTTTTCGGCCTGTGACCTGTTGGTCCCTTGACTTCAGTCTAACGCTCTCCCAACTGAGCTACCACGGCTTGGTATTTGGTGGCGCTTAGTTGAGTCGAAGCGCCGACAAAGTTTCCGTTACAACCTAAAGGGGTGTGGTAACCACCTACCTGCATCACACGCCCCCTGTCTACAGTCTCTGCCGAACTTGTGATGTAGCCTGTTGGAACGCTAATAATGGGCCACGAGGGAATGTGTTAACTCCGTACTGCACGAAGTGATGTACCTAAAATTGCTGGCCGAGATGAAGAGTTTCAGCACGCATGTATCACAAACATCATAGAACACCCTCAACCCGAAACCAAGAAAGTCCAAACCATCAGTCGAAACCGTCACGAATACAACACTGCTGAAGCAAGCACTCAATTAACCCTACGACGCCATTGAAACCCCTGGGAGAGATAGCAACCACGATGATAGTCTAGGCTTGGTTCATACATCATACATCGATGGACAGCGCAGCTCCGATAGAATGCACACTTCAGAGGAGCCGATTGCTGCACTGCCGTGTGGCGTGGGTATAGAGATTCCTTCGCCGGCGGGTGGAGATGCGGCCCGTCAGTGGCCCGCAGTACAGTGGCTGGAGATCTAATTAATAAATGGAGGTGAATTTCAGACCTGTCCAACGGAGGCATTCTAAGTGCGCAAATCAGACTGAACAACAACGGTTACATCATTTCTTACAGTAAATCTACTTGAACATTTCAGACATGATTTCACTCTCAGCTGTTCATCAGACTATAAATTAATGATGCAGAAGGCCGCCCTCTCCAACTTCTATTCGGCGGTCATTATTTTCGCTCAACGTCGGATCCGAACGACGCCCTCAACCCGTCACTACTTACACGTAAAAGACCCCGCACTTAGCGCTAGGACTAGACCCCATAACGACTCCTCCACGAGGGGGCTGTCAATTGTCAGTCATGCGCCACCATTCTGCCCGATGGGGCATAATGATCTTTCCCCCGGTCGGCTGGCCAATTTGCTCTAGACGGGTAAAGCGCACTGGAAAACTCCGGGGGTACTCGCTTGGCAGAGCCTAGACTAGCCGGTACTTGTTGCCAACTATACGCAGCAGGTACACTTTACTGTGCGCATCTGAAGTCCGCCCGGTACCGGTGCCTATTACTCCAGCACAAAAGTGGATATCGGTGTTACGCAGTCCGTTTGGAATTGAGCTTGCCGGCTTCGGGTTGGCATTGCAAGGTTGAGGGAGTCTTGCCGAGTTTGTTCAAGGCTCAAACGCTTCGACCGTACGGTCGTCGATCGTTCAAATGACGCATATTCTTAGAATGCGGGAGACCGCTCTCCGAGAAGTGAGTGAGGAGTGGGGTTGGGAGGATGCAGCGTAGGAATCCCGATGTATGAGAGAAGATTCAGTAAAATGCATCATGTATTGGGGGACGGTGGAGAAGCGCGTAAGTGGCTGAAATTACATTTGGCCACAAGCTTAAACGCCAAGTATAGAGCATGTGGAACACACGAGTGGGCCTATGATTGTTCCTGTTCTGTTGCTATACTTGTGTACTGATGAGGAAAGTCCGGTAAGACCTTTGTCTACCTTGTCGACTGACGACGCATTATAAGAAAACACATTTTCGGATGTCTTGAAACACAAATAACAGGTCCGCTCAACTGAATGTGCGAGATTCCCTTTGAATAGAAACAACCTGAGGTATCGGCGCTCGACCACCTTTTTTGGACGAAGCAGTGTTAGTTTAAGATGCTACTCTGTCGATTCAACCAAGAAGGATGTCTGAAATCGTCTGAACTCTAAGCGAGTGATGGCAAGCCGGGGAATTCGAGACTGCAGGTGCTGCATATACGAGGTACATTCGTGTAGGACGCATGGGGGGACCGGATAAAAGGTGGGGAACTTGCACCGATCGATGGATGGCACGACGTAGAACCATGCACGGACGACAAGCCGGCGTGCGATGACGAGGCTGGGCGGGAAGATAGCAATCTATCAAGAGTGACCAGGGGGATATTCTGCGACTCGGAGTATGCGGAGTTCGTCGACCGCTCTAACGGCGAAAACAAGTAAATGACCAGATTGATGCACTGGGTGATCCTCGGACTGTTGTTCGCCAGGTCATCGTTCTGCCCACTTTGGACAGGCTCGATGATCGAAGGCCAGGCAGGAGAACCTGCGGGAATATAACAACTTATTTCGAGAATGATAAGAGCAGCAAACACTCCTCCGGCTCGAATCGGAGGGTGGCTCAGAATCATGTGGACTGTGCTGCGTCGGTGGTGGGCGAGAGCCATCGCCGCGGGATAAGCGAGACTTTGGTGGGCAGTTGCAGAAGCAGCTGGGAGCGCCGCGGGGAACACAGGAGGCAAGTGTCAGTTCAACGTGGCTCTGTCTATCGCCATAGCGAAGGCGAGGTGCTGCTGGAGCAGGTGGTCCCCGAACCCTTACGGATGCAATTAGCTCCCTGAGCCTCCCAATGAGGCAAGGGACCCGGCCGGATGCGAATGGCCTGCATAGCGCGATGGGTCTGGTCATAAAGCTGCTTTGCGGCCACGGCTGGCTTCGAGTCTGCTGTGTCGCCACCACCCCCGCCACCCCCTCCAACGACACCCCCTTCGACAGCGACGAGACTCTGCTCGACGTCAACGACACGACTGCGACAGACGTCATTGGAGCCCCCGTACCCCGCACCGGCTCTCGACACCCAAGGATCATAGCTAGATCAGCCTAGGATCACACTTGAGAGCGCGAAGAAGACGGTGTGGTGAGCTTACAAGAGATCTGCGGCGGCACCGCCCAAGTGCTAACCCAACCGCGTTCGGCCTCTCAGTTGCACCTAAACCGGACCAAGACCGCCTCTTAACCTCTCTGCCCCGCCTAGATTGCCTCCACATCCTCTCTCTAGCCGCCGGACCTTCTGGTGTCGAGCACTCAAAACCCTCGACTAGCCCATCTGGTAGTCTGGCTTCGTCGCCCCCAGTCCTTGCTCGCGATGCCGGCCATCACCTCGTCGCGCGCAGTGCAAAAGGCGGAGACGAAATACAATGTAACAACTGAATGTACGTTTTCTTTTTGTTGTTCCTTTTCCTTGCCTTTCGCCACTGCGTTGAATATCTGCGATTTTACGTGGTTATTACTCTCCTCGCGCCAACCTTGTTCCCTGCCACCGCTGCCCTGTCTGTCCCTGCATCCCTCGATTCTCACGCCTATTCATGCACTGTACTGACCGTCTGCACCTTATATTCATCTCACTTGGCTGCCATCGTCACTGCCATGCTCTCTCCTCGTGACACCCCACCCCACATCTACCTCAACTCGCCTAGACCCAAATTATGGCCTACATTCTGCTGCTGCCACGGGCAATATCGGCCTCGTGTCCTTTGCTCTTGCAAACGGCCAGCCCACTAACGCTGTACTCGACGGTGTCCTTCCTATCCATGCGGCTGCCAGTGGCGGAAACGTTCGGGTCGTACTCATGCTCATCGATGCCGGCGCTGATGTCAATATCGGCCGGCTCTCCCGGAAGCTTGGAGCTGGAGGGGGAAAGAGCGCTGGGGCCGCGGCAGGCGCCAGTGGGAGTACGATGAGCATCTGTCCAGGGTCGGGGGGAGCACACATTGGCACGGGTGGAAGCACAGCGTTGCATTTCGCTGCTGCCAACGGTCACGTCGACGTCCTGACACTCTTATTGCGCTGTGGTGCGGATATCGAGAAGACAGACAAGCACGGTGTCACCCCGTTGATGCTTGCCGAAAACTTAGGCCAGGTATGTTTGACAAGTACCGCCCACCTGGAGTCCTTCTCACGCATTATATATTCATAGAGAGAAGCGGCCGCTACGCTGCGAGATTGGACTTCGAATAACCCTCCGAGCCTCCAACCGACATCCCCGTCCGCACCGAGCCTCGCACCCACCTCGCGCAGTCTCAAGGTGAAGCGATCACTCGAAACACTCTTCCGTCGCCCTTGGGGTGGCAGTCGGCTTGATCTCAGCCGACCTGATCCCAGCGCCAGCAGGATCGACCTGGGCGCAGGTGGGAGCCGAGGCGACCTCGGGTCGGAGAGCAGCGGCGTTGACCTTGGTGCCGGTGAGAGCCGGACTGAGCTCGGGTATCTGCCTCCTCTAGCCAGCAGTCCTCCACATGCCGACTCCCGGAGGCCGAGTCTGCCGGCTCTCGCTGGTCCGCTGTTTAGTTCTAGGTCGCATCGGCCGAGAAGCGCTGGCACGACCTGGAGTGGCGAGCGCGTGCGGAAGTTTTTCGGGCGATCGATACGAGAAAACACTACTGCGTGGGATGCAGGCGAGCCAGTCGGGACGGTAGATTGGGCGGAGGAAGTCGAGTTTAGGCGCGGAGAGAGTGTAGCTGTCGAAATGGGTTTGAAGGTGCCTAGCGCAGCGCTCTTGGCGAGACGGAGACCTAGTGCCGGGGCGAAGAAAGCTGTACTGAGCCAGCATCGCAAACCTAGCGAGTTCCACCCCGATCCAGAGTATGACTTTCTCGATGATGAGCCGTTCGAGGGACGCACGGTCGTGCGAGACGATGACGGCGATTTCGACGACGATCGCGATGTGGACTCTGCGCCCGTCAAACGGATGCTTCATCCTCGATCATCTTCGCACTCCAGCCCGGCCCCGGTCGGTTTCCCTAGAAGTGGAACGAACAGGCTCACCAGTCCTTCTATGCCGATCCTTCCCTTGCCTAACTCCCCGGCTTTGATGATATCAGCAGCGACGTCTACCACATCTATCCCTTCTGTCATATCCCCTGTGCGCTCCCACGCTCCCTCGCCATCCCCCAACGGCCATGCGCACACACGAACTCCATCTGGAAGCTCAATAACCCGTCACGGACTTCGCCCTTCAACAAGCTTTAGTTCATTTTTGCCAAGGCAACCAGAAGAAATAATGCCGAGCAGCGGGGAGACCACAGTTGCTGGTTCAGCGCCCGTCGCCGCTGATCCGGACGCACCGCTGAACATTCAAGAACCGGGCTCTCTGCTTGAACCTGCAGACGGACGATATCGCGGTGCCTCACTCTCCTCAACCGATTC